TGTATGTATGTATGGTTGGTTCGTGGTTTGGTTGGTACGCACCGATCGACCGACCGACCGCCCGCCCACCCTGGGTCCTGCGATTCCTTTCACTGTTATGCGCGGTGGAATAAACTCGACCCTCGGAGCGGCTTGCCGCACCTGTCGGCGTCCAATGAGCCGGCAAAAAAAAGGCGCTCGAGTGTCATTCCGGGCGGCTAGGCGCTTGAGATGCGCGTGCTGCGTACGAGCGCGCACTTCACGCCCTGGGGCTCACTCGTATTCATGGGAGGGGTCAGAGGCGTCCAGGCGGGCGGGGTGCTGCCCGTGTGCCGGAAGCAGCGGTGGGGAGGGATGGCTGCGGCGCAAGGCAGGCGAGGCCGGCGGTGGAGCGGCGGCCAGAGGGGCAGCGAAAGGCGAGGAGACAGGGTGGCGGTGGCGGCGGCGGCGGCGGCGGCGGTGGCGGCACGAGTCAGACGCGGGGGCGGCAAGAGGCAGAGGAGGCGATTGCAAGAGGCAGAGGGAGATGGCACAAGTGGTGGCAGCAGCAAGAGGCGGCGGTGGCAGGAGGCGGCGGCGGCAGGAGGAGGCGGCGGCGGCAGGAGGAGGCGGCGGGAGGCGGCGGCAGAGGCAGGAGGAGGCGGCGGTGGGAGGAAGCGGCGGCGGGAGGAGGCGGCGGAGGGCGGCGCTCGCCTGGCCGTCGGGCAGGAAGAGGAGCTTTGTGAGAGGCAGCTCCGAGAGGCGGATGGTCTGCGCCGCGCCCTCCGAGCCTGCGGTTGTGAGTACGACGCCAACATGAGGGGAAGGGGGGGGGAGACGGTCTGGTGCGGAGTCTTCAGAGCACCGCGTGAAGGAGAGGGGTGCGAAGACAGTGAGTACGGCCGGAGATGGTCGAGGACAGCTGAACACGCCTCCTCTCGGGCGCCAGGTGGGATACAAGAGTCCGACCTCCGCCTCTAGGGGCGGTCGAGCCTGCGGCCGCCGCGGCCATGTCGACGACGGCGACGGTCGAGTTTTGCGCGGTGAGGGCGAGAGCGTCGCCTGGCTCCCGAGGGAGGGAGGGAGGGTGCGAGACTCGGTCCAAGCGGTGAGGGCGAGCGCGGCGGCTGGTGCGCAGGGAGGGGAGAGGCCCGTGCCGAGAGGGGAGAGGTGCGAGCGAGGGGGCGCGGGGAGAGCGGGAGAGCGGGAGAGCGGGTGGGCGGGAGGGCGGGAGAGCGAGAGAGCGAGAGCAAGAGTGAGCGGGCGAGAGAGAGCAAGAGTGAGAGAGCAAGCGAGAGAGGGAGGAGGGAGGGAGGGAGGGAGGGAGGGAGGGAGGGGGAGGGAGGGAGAGAGAGAGAGAGAGAGAGAGAGAGAGAGAGAGAGAGAGAGCGAGCGAGCGAGCGAGAGCGATGTGGGTGGGGTACGGAGCCAACCGGCGGCGGAGAAGGCGACGTCGAGCACCCAGCCGTACGCCTTGCGTTGCGGAAACGCCAGCATGAGGGGGGGGGGGGGGGGGGGGGTAGTGTGCAGGGTCCTCAGAGCACCGCGTGAGTACGAGGGGTGCGAGGACAGCGACTGCAGCCGAATCCGGCGGGGTACAGTCGAGTCCGCGTCCTCTCGAGCGGCGGTGACACACTCTCGGGAGGGCGAGAGTCCGTATACATAAATCAGAGTCCGTCCTCCGTTCCTAGCCGTGCGCCTCGTACGTGTAGAGCAGCGTCCCGAACTTGGCCGCTGCGCCCCACGGAGTGGTCGCCTGCGGGATATGGGGAGATTTGGGGAGATTTGGCGAGATGTGGCGAGAGATAGGGAGAGATAGGGAGAGAGCCGGGGAGAGATGGCGAGAGATGGCGAGAGATAGGGAGAGACGGCGAGAGAGGTGCGGCGGGCGCTGAAGCAGCCGATGGCGGTGCACGCTCGTCGGCATGCGGGCGGCGCGGCGCTGCCCCGACTGCCGAGCACTGCACGGCGCTCGCGAGCTCGCCGACACCGCACGGGCCGGCGTGTGGAGCAGGACACCACGCACGAGCTGTCACTCACGAGCACCGCACAGTAGTGCTGTGTGCGCACACACCCGAGCACACACCCGAGCACACACCCGAGCACACACCCGAGCACACACCCGAGCACACACCCGAGTGTGCCAGGCGGCGGGCAGGCTCAGGCTCACTCGCGGAGCCGCGGCCTCTAAGCGAGATGTGGGGAGATAAGGCGAGATATGGCGGAGATATGGCCGCGGCCTCTAAGCGCTTCTTGCGTGCGTGCGCCGGCGCGGTGGGGAAGGGGGGGAGGGGGGAGGGGGGGGGGGGGGGGGGTGCCGGTGCTGTTCCCCATGGGTTTCTTTTTCGCGGGCGCCTTTTTGCCGTCAATGTTCCTCAGGGGCGCCTGCCCGGGCAGACACCCCGTGCGGGAAGCGAGTCGGAAAGCAGCCCGCCCCCCCCATCCCGTCGCGTCTCTCTCTCTGCCCCCCCCCCCACGGGGGGGGGGGCGCGCCAAAAAAAACCGGCAGCGGCAGTCCAACCACCCGGTGGGCAGGAACCGGGCCCTCGGGGGCCCCCCAACCCCCCCCACCGTGGAGGAGGGATCCTTGATCCTCTTCCAGACCCCAAAATCGTTTGCCCCCTCGTAAGAACACACCGGGCCCACCTTGGGGCCCCAACCCACCGCG